TTGCGATTACCATAACATGTCCTACGGATAGTTAATAATGTAAATAAATGAATAAACACTGCATCAATTAATTCAATTAACGTTACAAATTAATTTACAAACTATATATAATTTCCATCTTATCTGGAGACGACTACATGAACTTCCTGACATATGTACTAATTGCTAAGAAATCAATATATTAATTTATGAGTGATTAAAATAGTATATAAATTTGCTTTCTCACATACGATTACGCTGTATATTTATTTCATAAAATCATCTATATCTATAGACAAACACCTGTTGCTTCTAAAAATCAATAGTGCTATCAACTCATAAATTCCTTTCATACCCTACACATTGAAAGAATCAAAGCTCTTCACAAGTATTCATTAATGCAACTTTATTTTTGAAATTTAATCTAAAAAAGTTTTGTTTACTGATATCTTTGTCAATAAGTAAATAATGAAATGAAAGAGTCTCTGGTAATGGTTGATATATCCCCGCAAAAGTTTTCAGACAAGTCAAACACACAGTATGCAAAGTTGTTTACTGGCTTTGTGATTTGCCTTGGACGCTGAAAACAAACTTTTGCAAAATAGAAGTAGAGCTTTTCGATTGGGTTTGTAAATTTACAACGTTCTAGGAAATATACAAACTAAATAACCAAAAATCTAACGGAAGAAAATACTTTTGCTATAGATTTTCAACATCAGGTGGTTATAAATATGTTTTCCTCTACTTTCGAATATTATTATAAAAATTTTATAACTTCACTTATTTTTGTGATATCACTAGTGAACCTTTATACCCGCGGTCCTTTAAACCCCTACATATAATAATTTAGTTATATCCTCATACAATTTATATATGCGTTTAGAATTTGCATGAAAATCAAAATGTCAACTTGGGTTGTTTGGCGATGTATTTGCCTCATTATTTATTCTGGGTAGTCTTCATTTCCTCATGAATAATTATAGATATTTTTAATCTCCTCTGACCTTATGTTATTATATCAGTGAAACCCCTTAAAGGTGAATTTTAATTTAAATAATAATTTTTGGATTCTAAAACCTCTGTTTACAAAGCTAATGAATGGTATCAAAAAATTCTAATTAAACCAGAGGAGGATTGGGTAAAAGACAAGTTTCAATGCGCAGATTTAGAACCATTATATGATGTCAAGAAAGGGGTGAAAATCTCCATTCTTGGGGATGAATTGCAAATGTTAAGCATAATTTTTTTATAATATTGAATATCATAAAATATGTATGTTCAATTAGTAATATTTGTATGATATTGTTATTCAAATGTTCACGAAAATGGGCGGGGGAGAAAATTTCATATTTTATATCTAATATCGTTCAAGATCCTATTGAAGAACGCCTGTGACTACTACCCCCGTTTATATTTCCTTTAATATTACGAATGGCCCTATATAATGTAGAGTATTTCATGTCTTGTTATAAAAATTATTACTCTTTATTTATGTCACCGTGACTCCGAACAAAATCATTTATTTGTGTAATATTTGCGAGCGTAGCCATTTGTGACACGCTACAATTCGTTTTACTATCATTTTTAACGGGGCTAATGTTCCGTAATGTCGTAGCTTATTTTTTACGGGCGAGATTCCTTATATTTCCTACCATTAATGGAAGGACGCTCGAACGAAATTATAAAAAATGTTCTTACCAAAGTGACAGTCATGGTTTTAATTATGTTTTGTAATAAATTCTATATTATGTTTCTGTTCTCGAACGAATGATGATTTCCCTTATTGCTTCATCAAATTATTTGCATTTTCAATATTTCATCATCCGACTTACTTTATTAATATTTTTCAATTTCTATTGAAAAACTGCGTAGTTTCTCAATATTCATTCCATAATATAATTCATTTTCTTTTCAATATATCATCTCGATAACCCACAACAGTATTGGCTTCATTACATTTGCTATCCGCATATTCAATTGCATTTGAATACGTTGCAATATCATTCCTGGCATATTCGTTTTCTGAGCATTGTGTATAAATTCAATTTTGTTACGTTGATATTACGTAGTCGTTTCGATATCTTGCAAATTGCTTTTTTCTATATACATATAGAATAAAAAAAATGATTAAAAGACAGTTTTATTCCAGCAGGTAAGGTACTTAAGGTGGTCATATCATCAATGTAGTTCTACATCGTTCAGTTTTGTCTATTTAAATTTGATTATATTTTGTTTGGGCGGATGCTACATATATGTGACGTATTTGTTGCGATGAAAAAATCCGCATTATTGAATACGTATGTGGGGTGGTCCCACATATAAAAATCAAGACACTATAAATGAAAAATAAAGTTTATTACAAAATTATAATAATTTACAAAATCTTCTTGGTTGAATTCCGGTATTCTTAGTATTCCTTGGTTGGACTCCGTAGTTTTCCTAGGTGTTGCCTGCTCGACCAGTAGAAGAGAAAAGAGATCGAGGATGGTAACTGCTTTGGTTATATACCTGGTAGCCTGACCCCCTCCACGCATTAGGGTCCCTAATAGTGTGGAGGCTAGTGTAGCTCTTTACTACTATTTTTCAATAGTGGGAGAGCTAGTGCCGCTGCACGTAGTTCAAATTTTTAATTTTGGACATATGTCCCATCTGATGAATTGGCTATAGACTCTCTATATTATGCCCTAAATCAGAAATATAATTTGAGAAGTGTACCTGACTGATTTTTAATAATGTTACCGAAATTTATAATTAATAGTTAATAACTCTTGCATTATAATGATTTTCATCAAAAAATATTTTAACATTAGAATAACATTGATTATAACAAGAATAATAAACATGGAATATATAACCACTCATCTTCCTCCTCGTCGGTTTTTCACGTTTTCTTCAGAAAAATCGTGAAAAGTATAATAAATATTTTAATACATATCTGTGTAAACGAGTACATAAAATTTTCGAGGCATATGCGATATAAAAATATCATGCAAATTTATGCGGGCGATTCCTTACCAACGCTAACAAAACCCACAAAAATACTCTTGGGGATTTATTACTCGTTTGGATTATGAGAGTTTTCTTTTCCTGAGGTAGAAGAATGCCATAGTAGCGATTCAGGAATTTTATAGTCGGACAAGTCGGCGGAATGCAAAGACAATATATTTCGGGCAAATAATATTGGACTGTAAAACGGGAAATAATTGAAATATTTCTGGAGATGAAGTTATATTGAGTAATGTGAGCTTTGTCACAGTAAAATATAGATTTTGCAGCAATTATGTTACTTGCTGCTAACTTTAATCTACGTTTACCTGGTACCTACTGTTTGATATCTCAACTTTGCAAAGATAAATTATAGAAGTTCGTCCTTAGGATGATTAAAATGAATAGAGTTGTAAGTTTTAATAACGATATGCCCTTGGCTTTATATCATTTATTATTTTGTAGGTCCAAATAATGAGCCTATATTTTTGTATAAAATTTCGACATTTAATTAGACATGAGCCAAATATTTTCTTCGTATCATTTTTATTTGCTCTGTTATAATTTTGATAGAGTTTAATAACTTTTTCCAATTTTTTTGAATAGAACATTACTTGGTTATTGATAATTTAGTTTTAATTTAAAATGTAGTCATTGATATTTTGAATTATTTCTATAGAATATTTCTATGTAATATGTATCAATATCTAGTAATATTCAATAATATTACAAATTTTACACCTCTCTGGCAAATGAATTATTCGAATAGAAAACGGTTCTATTCAGAATGATATTCTACTAGCTGCACATTGTTACTTAATTGTCCCCTTCCTGATTATTTAAATTTGCACTTATAATTATAAATAATATTAAAATTACATAATTATTAAAATTAAATTTTGATGTAATTTAAATATCCGAATGAATATAATAACTTAAATGCACGTGCATATCATATTCTATATAATAAACTTAAAATTTTATTTCCTTATTATAATATCAAACACCAAAGTTTAACATATTTTCATAAGAAAGATATAGCGGATTAAAAGTTTTAAAAATAATATTACTTTGATAACGTTATATCTGCTAACCTTTAAGGGTTCATTATAAAATTACATCATATATACAAAAATGTAGTGCATTTTACTAGTTTTAATAATGGCTCAAAAATTTCTTTGAGTTTCTCTAGTTTTTCCTAAGATTTTTTTTCTTCATCAATATGAAGTTTTTTTCCTTTCAGATATATACTTATAATTCTCCCCCATGTTTATATTTTCTTGTTCCTGTTGTAGATTAAAGGTAAATATTGTTCTCTCTTATATAATACAAATATGAGAAGATGGAACTGTTTCATACAAACATAATACGATACGCTTCGAAATATTGTACGAAATTGTATATTTTGACGGATTTTAGAATTAGCAAATGTTTGGTTTCTTACCTGGTAATTCTAAAAAGTTGGATGTTCTCCGTTGCCTTCCTCTTTCGGACTTCTGGAAAGCCAGAGGGCCAACATCTTCATTAGAAAATATGGAAGTTGTTGATCCATTATGACTTTTTGCTGAATCTCTGGAATTTCTTCTATTAGCCAAATATGCCAAACCACCTTTACTACTTCCTCTGCGTTTCCTAGGTCTTCCCTCGCTACTTTGTATGGACGTAGTAGTTTCAGCAAAATCTGTCAAATCACTCGTAGATTTTCTACATCTCCTGAAACTCCCCATATTGGATCCAGAATTAGATTCCGTGAATGTAATATCAGAATACACTGAAGTACTTCCAGAACTCATACGAGTGACTCTATTCCTAATTTTAGCAGCAATCAAATCCTCACTGTTCATAATTTGGTAACCCGGATTTGTCGTTATATGCGTTTTAGGTGTCATGGAATTTCTGGACGAAGAATGCTTCAACACACACTGAGGTGATTTCGGCGATTCATTATAAGCTGGTTTCTCGAAGTCAAATCTAATCGGCGATTTTGGAGAACGATTTCCTATTTCTCAATTCCGCAATGCGAAGCACTGTGTGTAATGCCATTACAATTGGGGCTTTTGGGGGACTTGGGGCCAATGCCTGGGCTCTTTGGGGCTTTTTGTGGAAACACAAAGTGTCTGGGGCTACGAGGGGTTATAGGTTTTGGGGATGATTGTCGACTCGCGTACGTTGACCCGGGGCTGTTCACCTCCATGGTAAAGTTGAGAAGAATAAAAGTAAAGTTTATTGCACACAATAGGAAGAAAACTTTGACGGGGGTAAAGGATTCAGGGTGTTTTCACTATTTAAAATTGGTTTAAACTGCTTGAGACACAACTGCAATAATAGTTGAACAATTTCAAAAATTTTAAACAACGCCGACTTTTGCTATCTGATTTTAGTTCTCAAGTTTTTTGTCACTACACTAATTTAAAAAATATTATTATACTAGAATATTCGAGCAAAATAATAAATTGGTTGGTTTATAATATTATTTTAATTTTTATTGCAATTTTATGTACTCTCACCGGAATGGAATAACACAGGCACGTAACTTCAAACCATAATGTTATCAATTATTATTAATTAGTATCTTAAAGTATATTAATTAATCAATTTCCAATATTAATTGAGCTTGTTTTAACTGTAATTTGCAATAAATTAAATATTTTTTATACAATTTTTATTATATAAATGAGTTTTCCTTCAACATATGCAACAAGTGTATGCGCTGCGAGATCTGATAGCGTATTACCCGGGAACGACCGCTCAGCGTAGCGCACGTTGAGCCAATGTGCGGAAAATCGTCAGAAGCAACAGCTAGGGAACTTCACTTTCCATTTCCACGAATTTTCACGACCGCGAGCGAATCCAGGGACGAGCGCCCTGGAAAATCGAAACAGGGGTGGAAAACGGTGAAACAGGAACTTTACCACCCGTTCATATGGTGGTTTCTATAGATTTGAATCTCTTATTATTATAATGTATAATGCTTTGTGAATTTAGAGTTGTGACACGTTCGAGAAAATGTATTTTTGCAAGATAAACTAGTGGAGTGTATGTCATCGTGCATTAAGGCAAATTGCTGGAACTTCCCGTACCGTAACGAAATGTTCGAAGAATATTGAATGTTTTCAAATAGATTATTATTAATATTGTAACATTGTTTATTATTTATAAGAATTACATAAACAGAATTGCAAAGTTGAAATTATTTGTTTAAAGTATATTAGAACTATAGTCAGAATTAAAAATAAAATCTGAATTATTTTCGATATACAAAAAAAATGATACATTTTTTTTCCAAAATCAATTATTTTGTTAAAACAAGCTGAAAGTTATTTTAATCATTTAAATTGGACGCTTAGTTCTCTCAAAAAATTAAACCTGGTGCTTCCTGGTCGTCCTATTTTACCCCGTCTATGAGGTAAAAAAGACCAGGTGACAATTTTTTGGAAAACATAAAAAACACATTTTTACAATGTCGAATTAGGTAGGAGTTTTACTGAACATAGGCAATTAGTTGTTTGTTGGACATGCGTTATTTGTTTCTGTATACATTATCTGGTTTTCACATGCATGTATAATATAAATTTTATTCGTGTTTCTCGGTTTAGGACGAATATTTATTACCCCCAAATTCCTCACAACCCACTTCAAGATTTATGTAGTGCCAGTACAACTCGATATAAGCAAAGTTTGTTTTCTTGCTAATGACGTTTTGCCTAAATTAACTTAGAGGACCATCCCACCAACTTCGAGAAATATTGTTCTTACCATAATTATTTTGTCAAGTTTATATTTGTTCTTCATATTCGGCGGTTTTAAGACCGAAATTGAATTGCGAAATACTTGAGACTTAGTGAGAGAAAATTTAATTAAAGAACTTCAATTGAAGTTTTTTTGTTACCTTCGGAACACTGCGTTATTTTAATATGGATATATTTGAAGTATATTTTATAAATATACAAAACAAAATATGCAATAATTCCAATCTTTAGCGAGGAAAGTACTTCTGATAAAAAAAATATATACATCAATTGACATTGAAAATCATTAATCTAGAGATATTCTAAATTAATTTTCATATGCTATTGAGCATATTTACCAGTAATAGTTTGGTGAATCAACATGAATTCAAAAGTTTGGATATTATTTGATTTGAAATTCCTTGCGTTTGTAGAAAAAAATAGAAAAAATTATTTTCAAAATTGTAAATAAACTTGATTAAAAAGTCTAAAAAAAATCTCTCACAAAGAGAACCTCAGGTTTACTCTTCAGGGATTTTGATGAAACTTTGCATGGTGATAGATTTGATAATCAAACCGAACATTTTAAAATATTACAGGCTTATGTGTAGTGGTTTAATTATAAAAATAATTAAAGTTTTGAAAATAGACCAAGTCCAGAACAAAATTATAGATTAGAAGAGATAAACTTAACTATCTCAAAATATATTTATTAAATTTGAATTAAATAATATACCTTACTGTGGTGTACATATTTACTTACAGTATGAAATTTCATAATATTGCGAAGTAATATCAGTTACTATGTAATTTATCTACATTAATAAAACATTACAAGAGAGATTTGTGAAATGTGGTCCATATGAAGCAACATAGTACACTCTGGATTAATATCAAGCGGAATGTGTAATATTGTATTTCACGTGCTCGAATATTTTGAACAAAGAGTTGTTAGGAAGGAATTATAATATACGGCAACCGTTTATATTTACATTGTATAATTAAATAGAAGTGATAAAGGACGAGCATTTGCTGAAGAAATATCTGAACAAAATTTTAGACAAATACCTTGCCAATTACATTGATCCTAATAGTATTTTTTGGTCTAATCACCCATATGGTTGTCCAATTGGTATTGGAATACATATTTGCATGATTAATTAAGTGATTTTTTGTGAGCAATTTATAACTTGCTTTTGTTTTGGCATTTATACTTGAACTTGAACGTCAGTCATAATATTTTAGCCGCTATTTTTTATTTATGAAACTAAATTCCTACGACACATAACATAGATTAAGGAAAGCTGACAACAAACCATTACCCGAAATGTCTTCCAAGAAGAAATTTACATCATATGAAATATCTTCTCCGCACGCGAAACAGGATCATTCGCAAATGCCATTTCGGATTCCTGTTGCTATACGAAAACAGTATGGGAAAAAGGTGAGCTAAAGAACTTATGCATTTAAATTTAAATTTTTATATTAAATCATTTTGGTATTGACAAACACACACAAATTTATAAATATTACCCTATATATTTCAAGGTCCAACTTGAATTTGAGCAACTATCTGACTATGTTCATTCTATCTATCATTCTAGAAATTTGTTGTTTTCTGCTTTTCAAAAATTTGTTACCTGGTTCTTCTTACCTCAAAGGTTGTGTGAAATGGGACGACGAAAGGGCAAACAGATCCATTGTCTTATTTTTGATTTTAAAGAGATTTTATAAAATAATATCTACATTATTGAACCAATACAAATTATAAATTGTATAAGTACATTTTTTGCAGAGATAACACTGTATATAACCTTGATCTGCTATTTTATCTGAAATATTTATCAGCTGATTTGACGATGGCTTGTTATACATAATTTTCTCTCTACTTTCAAATAGTTTTGATATAAAATTCCTAACTTTACTTGCTTTAAAAATATCGGTGGTGGGCCTTTTTTATCTACAGACCTTTAAGCCTTATATATTTTGAGTACTGGAGAAAATTTTTAAAATTAAAAATATGTTTAAAGTCAAACTTTTTACAACTTGACTGTTCTATGAATATAATTAATTTACTGACGATCTATAGATTTTATTAATTATCGTTTTTCAGGGTTGGACATCAATCATGGCAACTCGAGACGATCGTTTGTCAGCTGAAACATGTTTTATAGCAGGCAATTCCGTTCAAAGACCCAGAATAACTTGGACCTCGATTAAGTTCGCAATTTTAAGCCTACAAAAAACAATTTTGTGGAACATTTTCATCATTATGTGCATTACGGTTAATTTCTTCAGTGTCACGAGCATCGTTTTTACCACTCAGGGTAAGTTTATTGAAATTGCAAATAATATAATTTTAACACTCTGAAATTAATTGCGTTGTAATATCGATCAAAGTTAATTGTGCTAAATAATGAGCTAGTAACTTGAGCTGATGATGAACAAGTATTATATTTCCACCTGAGTTTTAACAACTTCTTTCACCTTACTGACCCAGTTTTATCATCGCGTGATCAAAAATTCCTTCAGATCTCGCTTGGACCTTTTAACAAAAATAACGAAGTAATTTTTTGTTCGTTTATAATCCGAAGCAAAATAATGATTACAATATCTTCCGAATCTCGAATACAATATCTACATTAATAACTCTCGTAATTAAACCGTATTAATTCATGGGCTGTAATAAAGCATAATGAGATAACGAAGGAAAGGTTAGGACGTCCCGGGCCTTTATACATCTTTTGGTTTCGCAATAACGATTCATTCATCTTTACATTTTCTCGAACCTAGAGGTTTTATGGGAAGGAGATCTGTGTAACGATAGTAATCACTTTTCCTTTCCCAATTTAATGCGACGGCTAGAAGAAAATTATTTTTCTAATAAGTAAAAAAATTGATGCACTTTCAGTCAAGTTTTTTGAACACTTCTTTTTACAAGCGTATATTTACAATTCATCTTAATTTTAGATATAGAAAAAAATAAGATTATTTATTCAAATACATTAGTTTTACATTTTGAAGCTTATTGTTTTTAAACCAAATAAAATGTTAAGAAAATCATTTCAATTAATAATATAATATTTAATTTTCCAAATCAAATAAAATGCTAAATTTCTATTTTGAATACAATGATGATCAGCCACCCCACTATTACCTTTCCCACCCACATTTTCCCAACGGTTACACACACAAGAAAATGGCCAGGAACCCGGTTGCAAAGACGTTGCTAAGAGTTTGATTGCCCTTAAAGGAGCCAGGAGATAAGAAGATTAGTACAGTGGTAAAAGGAATCGTTTATACATACTTATATATGTATTTAATACTTTCACAAAGATTTGGTTAATGATAAAAATATAATGAACATTTTGTGATTAGTGGTGTAATCTAAAATAGATATGATTAGTAGATGATTAGTACATGACTAATATCTTATATTTCATTTATTTCAGATGCAGGATCTAAAGTACTCTACATCTGCCTCTTCTGTGATCTAATATTTCTCTTCAATTGGTGCTTATCAATGACAATATATAATTGGAAAGAAGTACAAATTCGAACTGGCGTTAAACCAAAATCTTTCATTCGCTTAGTGATCGATGGAATACTTTGTTCTGCTTTACTATTAACAGTAATCTGCTTATTCAAAAGCATAAGCATTATATGGGAAATGAATTACATCGCCGTTCTACAAATTTATTATCTGCCCATATACTTCATTGAACAATCTCAAGATATAGGAGTTAATAGATGGGTAAACCTCTTAGTGCCCTATATTCTTTATTTGACTATATTTGTCCATACTGTAGGAGTCGTATTATATGCAATTGCAAAAAATGAAATATCTTCCCCGCAAGGATGCTGGTTTCACACCTTGGAACAGTACAGGAAAAATGAAAACCCGACAGCTATTGACATGTACATTTACTCAGTCCACTTTTCAGTGATGTTGGTAACTGGTTTGGGTTTAGGGGATGTTACTGCAGTAACCGTGATAGAATTGGCTGTTACTTCATTTGTGATGATAGCTGGATTTTGCTTCGCTGTTTTATACTTTATTGGAACTCTATCCTCGGTAATGGTGAACGATGCAGAACGACTGGAGTTGTACAGGGCGGACCTCATTGCCATCAGGGATTATTTGACGGATATCAATTGCGAAGAAAAAGTCAAGAACAAGGTTATAAGGTAAGTAAAAAATAATTTAAATAAAATGATTAATAATAATAGTTTTACACAAAATCTCAAAATAGGTATATTTCCATTAATATTTAGTTTATGATTCTATTCACTAGGTATTATATCGAACTGTGGCATTATAAAAAAGGAATAAAGCGAGTTCCAAGCATAGATCTGTTACCCATATCATTACGTATGGAACTCTTTCACGACATGTGCATGGGACCTTTCAAATCCACTTTACTATTTCGATTTTTGCCCGACTATTTTCTTCGTAAATTATCTATGAGTATGAAGCCAGTATTTTATCTACCAGGAGACATACTCAGCCACCAGCACGTTGCCAAATACATGATGATCATAATCCTTTCCGGAGTAGTCCACATTTTGTCAGATGAAGACAATGAAAGTCCAATTATTTCGTTTGATTATGGGACTTGTATAAGTGAAATTGGAATGGTATACACTTTGCCTGCTAAATCTTCTATAAGAGCCGCCACTTATTTAGAGGTGTTGACCTTGCACAAATTAGACTTTTTTAGAGCTGTTAAGGAGTATCCGGAAATACAGAAAAGAATTAGGTTGAATATTCAAGATCGGATTGAAAGAGCGCATAAGAAAGATATATATCGACCAAAGAAGAAAAATATTTTTAATCTTTTTGTGACTCAAGAAACAGAAATTACTGCTATCAAACAGATAAAGAAGTTGCTTAAAGCCAAACCAGGTAAGATTATTGATTTAATTTAGAATATATATATATATATATATATATATATATATATATATATATCTCTATTTTTTCCAGTATCAGACTTCAACACTCTTCTCAAGGCACATGACAATGAATTGACGCTCAAGTATATTCTTGGTCTCTACAATATTTACCAAAGTGATACCATCATTCCCGAAAAAGACCTCATATGCATTCCAAACCCATCGTACCCATTCATAATCAACCCACGCACAAAATTAGATTCTCTATGGCGTACAATTGTCTTTTGTACAATATTGTTGTTATCAATAGTATACCCTTATTATGTTGCTTTTGATAGATCATATCCTAATTGGTTTCAAGTTTACTTAGCATTGACTGATATCATTTATTATATTGATATCTATGTATTATTGACTACGGCTATTATTCATAAAAACAAAAATGTGATAACATTCAAAGCCATTTATCACTATAGATTGAATAGATTGCCGTTCTACTTGGATTTTATATCGGTTATGCCGATTGAACATTTTCGTCTTTCATCGAAGATTACCGGCATAATTATCAAATTTATTACTATCTCAAATTTAACAGATTCGTCAAAGTTTGGAAAATGTGGAAATATTTTACAGACATGGAGAATAATTTCTTTGGAAGAATTTTTATAATACGCATTTGCAAATATACTCTTTCTCTGCTTCTGCTTTCTTACTGGATGGGAGTAATTTTATACATAGAATCCTGTTTCGCTTTACCATGTCGAAAAACTTCTTGGTATGTACAACAACAGATTATGGAAGTCACAAATCATATTGGGGTTTCTTTTGTTAAACATAAAGAAATATGTCTATTTATTTTGGATTTAGCACGGTATCAGGTGCTGGTTATGGAGACCTTTATCCAACTGATATAATAGATACTATTTTCATTTGGATTGCTAGACTGTTAGGCATAATACTATTCAATTACTGCATTTCAGATCTATCAGAATTTATAACGTTTAGATTCCAGTTACAGTCAGCTTTCAAAGAACGATTTAATATGCTTCTAAGATATGTTTCCCAAAGTGATGTCACAAACGCGGTGAAAAATCGGCTTCTAGCCTGTTACGTACTACAATGGTATCATAGTGGAGGATTTAGAACCGCTCAAAAGCATCAATTATTACAAAAAGCAGTATCTTTTATGAGACAAGATGTACTAGCAGCAGAGAAGAAAAAAACTTTAAAAAAAGTTCCGCTGTTTAGTTCTACAAACGATGATTTTATCGCTACATTGGCATCAGGATCGAGAATGGATACACTTCCACCAGGCGAGTATGTCGTTTATGCCGGACTTGTAAATCGCCAACTATATATTATTCATCAAGGTTATTGTGAGATTATTGAAAATAATACTGCTATAAGAACTTTACATCCTGGAGCCCACTTTTGTGTCGAGTGCTTGTTGTACGGACATCCAAGTATTTAACGGTAACGGTAAGAACATTGACACATTGTAAAATTCTTAGCATCAGCAGCTACATATTTTTAAAGCCACTGATATGTTTCCAAAATACTTAGAGCATGAACAGCTTTCATTTGATAACATTTTGGCAAAAACTTATAAAACGTATAAAAAAGAATCTCAAGTATTATCCAAAGCAAAGATCGTCAATAGTAACATTATGCGAATAAAGAATCTCTTTGCTAATTCTCTGATAAATGTAAAGAAATATTGCCGTCGAAGGCATGAAAATTATAATAAAGGTTTTGAAGGTGATAACAATATATTTAAGTATATTTTATTGCCTATTTGCATCACACCGCAAGGTCTATTATTGAAGATATGGTGTTTCTTCAGGATATTGGCAGCTTTTTGCATTGCAATGTTGTTGCCATTTGATATTACAATTACACCATATACGAATAACTTTGTTAACTTAATAATAATTGTATCGGATGCGATAGCTTATATTGATTTGTACGTAAGCATGTTTATTGGATACTATGGTAAACAAGGCCAGCTCATAATACATCCCATGAAAACAGCTAAAAGATATGTATCTACGCTATTTATTCTAGACATCATATTATGTATTCCAATAAATAAAATAAATCGTGCTCTTCCTTTAGATGATTATAAGGAAGTCGAATGGTGGTTGAACATGATTCGTCTTATACGAATTGGACAAGTTTACAGAATTCACGGGGCGATGTCGTACCTATTAAGTGATATATTAAAATCTGATAGAATTTATATCATTATTGAATTTATCGTAATTACATTAGTTGCTAGCAATATTTGGTCATGTATATTTGTGAATACCACTTGTCAACCTTATTTAAAACGTGCAGATGAGATACATATGAAATGTCTGGAAGGTTCTTGGCATGTCCGATCCGTTTTGCCAATCAAACTGAAGCTTTAGAAGTTTACTTGACGGCTTTTTATTGGACAAGTTCCCAAATAATAGGCTATGGATTTGGTGATATTACTCCACATAAACCTGTTCATATAATGCACTGTATTCTTAGCATTCTTGTGGGCCAACTTCTGATTGCCTTTGCATGCGCTTACATCGCCAGTAGCATTTCCACACAACATCGGACTTTAGTAACATTTCAAGAAAAACTGTGCAATATAACAAGTTTTATGAAACGTCAAAATGTTTCACCTGATCTACGAAAATTAATACATAAGCACTTCTTACAACGATACAAAAGAACTGGAGGAATTGAACCTATGGAGGTCCTGAATGATATCCATACCACGCTAATGGAAGATGCTGTGCATAGTATGTTTGAGGAAACTTTACAAATTGTACCTTTGTTTTCATTCGTAGAAAAATCATTTTTCCGAATTATTGCCTTGCATTTAGCAAACAGGCATTATGTTAAAGGAGAAGAGATTGTTCGTTGTAACTATATTACTCGTAATATATACATACTACATCGAGGTAAAGTACAAGTGAAGAATAGTAATGATGAGCCAATTTGTATAATTGGTCCTGGTGCAATATTTGGTCGAATTAATGCACTTGCTTCCAAGCCCAGTTCTGTTACCATAGAAGCTTTGCATAATTTAGACGTATTGGTGATTGAATATGACATATTTTATAATATTCTTAAAGATTACCCGAAAATTATGCATAAGATCCATAACGAGTTAAAGAAAGATGTGGATTATATTTTGCCTAAAGTGATAATTGACGATGACGCAACAAGGGTCAGCTTGTGTTCTAAATTCACCACTAATACTGATATTACTGGGAGTACTCAAGTTACCTTGAATACTGTTGTAACTATGGAAAGTATGCCAAAATGGAACGTCGTGCTGAATCCTCGAAAATGTTTCCGCATAGCTCTGATACCAGATTCTATATTATGTCAGATTCATAGTGCATTGGTATTAATAGCATCATATGCTAGCACAATTCTGATAACTTATCAATTTTTTTTCCACGATCTGTCTCTAATATATATACTTCCAAGCATATGCATAGATCTCGTATTTATTTTGAAGATTTTACTAGATTTACAAATGGCCTATGTCAACAAATTAGGAGATTACGTTCTTGATGTTAAACTTATCCGTATGAGGTATCTTACTGATTACAAAGAACGTCTTATTGATGTGGCAGCTAATTTGCCTTTGTGTTATTTTGCGTTGCTAGTACCTGGACCTTTTGGGCTTGATCTTTTTGTATATCTTCGATTGCATCATCTAATTCGGATTGTGTACATTATACAATTTTATAACGTGCATTCAAGAATGTTATCAAGTGCTAGTTTTCTGCTAAAACTTAGTTGGTTACTTGTATGGTTCACTTTATTGATGCACATTTTTGCTTGTTTTTGGTTTTACATTCCTTGCATGGGTTCAAAATGCAAACGAGGTTTTTGGGGTGAAGAAAGAGGTTTGGCCAAAGAAGAACATCCATTTGCAAACTACGTTCATTCTTTATATCATATGACCAACATTATGACTATGACTGGTCATGGAGACATCAAGCCTATGATACCCGTGGAACTGTTATTGTCTGTAATGTTTGTGGTGACAACTAAGATTTTTGTTGGTACTCTTATTGGTGAAATATCATATGTTCAGAATTTGTATTCTTTGGAGCAAGTTAATTACACTAGAACTGTCGTGGAATTGAAGCATTATATGACTAATAATAATTTGAGTGCAGTTAAGCAGAAGAAATGTGGAACTATGTACGACGATTGTGGATTAAAGACAAGGGCAGGCAAATGCCTTCATTGTACAATGATTTACCTTTATGTCTGAAATGTGATTTGATGTATGAAATGTATGGGATTCATATTCAAAATTCCTACGGTGTTCGAGAAATGCTCCATGGATTTTATAAAGCAGGTAAATTAAAATTCAAGCAATGTAGGATTTAAATTATTAACCATTGCACATCAATATATATTTTATTATTATTTTTAGCTCTGTGCTCATCTAAATAGATACATTTTTTATCCGACTAATTACGTTGTTCAAAGTGGCGATGCAGATCTTTGCATGTATTTTATTCATTTGGGCGAATTGAAGTTCTAACAATTCATCAAGATATGTCTGAAACATACATGATGTTTTGGGAACCTGGGACACATTTGGAGTGGTTCAGGTGAATTAATTATTTTAATATTATCATAATATTTGTACAACTCAAATTTTGATTTAAGGATATAAATTTTACTTACTTAATTGTCTCTTTATAATTATATTTAATACAATTTGTTGTTATTTTTTATTATAGGGTTTATACAGCGGAATTCCACATTACTTCTCATTTAGAGCAAAAACTGAAGTAGAAATCGTATATTTATGTTATAAACAATTGGAAGCATTTTCAACAATTCTTTCCAGATGTTGTTGCTACAATTTATGAAAGAGCCGAGAAAATATTATCTTACAAAGTCTAATTGGTACGTATAAAATCTGAATCCGCTTAAAATTATATTGATGATGATGAGAAATCGGTCAATCAGTAAAAATATTTGGAAATTAACTCCAATGTCATGAAAACTTTAGTCATTTACGGAAACAAATATTTGAATAGTAAATTAGTGTTTTTTTTCAATCTAAATATTCATATCAATCTCCAACTTTAAATACTGATACAATTCTCAATTTATTAATTTTGAATCGGTGCATTTAAGTGACCCTTATGTCATCATGACAATTCAATTGTTTTCATATATTTTGAATTTATAAATTAATTTTAAAAAATTATAAAATGGACGAAGAATACTACAAATGTTCACTATCATTCAAATTTGATCCAAATGAGACATTCACAACTGTAAATACATCAATGGAACATGTTTCGGGTAACTGAATCATTCAGTATTAGCAAAATTACTATTTTTTTTATAGTTATTTGATTAAAATATTTTGTCTATAGAAATAGTAACCGAAGTTCTTGAAAAATCAACTCCTGATGAAGATTTGGGCAATGAATCCAGAACTGAATCCGAATGAAATTGTTTTGTATCTCTGAATATTTACAAAATAGAAGCTTAATAAACACATCTTATTAAATGAACTGATCATAAAAATGTCAGACAACGTTTTTTGATATAATAATATTTTGTAATTTGTCCTAAACAGTAAATTGAAACTAATGATATTTATATTGGTCGTCTACAAAAATGATAAAATGTAATCAGCATATATAAATTCATCCCATGCAATATTTATTTCAATGCATCTTGCTTAATATTTTCATTATCGTGTGGGGATCATAAAATTAAAACATTTAAAACATCATTGTCTCAAATGTAGATTCAAATTTATTCAATTTCAATTATAATCTTAACATTCCGATGAGCTATTTTTGGCCGATTTAGTCAAATATTCATAAAATTAGTAGTTGTAATTTTTGTATTTTAAATAGTCGCAAATATCAAATCGAAACTCATTTCTTGGGGTCCAATTTCAAAGCAATTTTGCGCTGCATCTCGATTATATATTTTTCTGGAAGTCTGCTCTCTCTGTACAAGAATTAGTAAAGTTAAGTTATAAAATA